GGACTTAAAAAAGCCAAAACTATCTATATGGCAAAGATTCCGTGAGAGGTAAGTGAATGTTTGTAATTTGGGTAAACCCACCATGTAAACGGCTGCCAACACAGGAAAAATGCATTGTACAACCTGCACAGGGCACACCTATGGTCATGCAACACCTCCATAAAGCATAGCTTCAACTCAGCTGACCCTCAGACTTGGTAGACGAAATTAAAAGCAAGTTTACTAGAGGCATGCAAAGGTCAGCAACAGGTTAGCTGTGAAAGCAGACAACTAAGTAAGTACAAAGTGCATAAACAAGCTGTCAGAGTGTCCAAAAAGACAGGCAGGGGTCAAAACAGGTCAGACAGAAAAGGCTTGAACATATTTACTAGGATGGCATAACAATCTGGCTATAGGAGTAGATGGAAATGGGCAGGTATGTGTAGGAGGAGGGTAACTCACTGTTTGTGAAATCTCCCCAGAAAAGTAATTGCCCAATTATAGTCAAGCAAAATCAGGCACATCACACCTGTCAGCTTTTGATTTCCCTACACGATGAATCAGTATGCATGGGGCTGTAGTAAGAGTTAAGTGTAAGGAATAATTTAAACAGTGTGTTTTCCCTTTTCTGCTCCAATGTAAGCTGCATGTTCGACTAACTAGCTAAAACTGATTGCCTTCCGTGGGAGCGCACGCAGTACGTTGTTGTATCACCCAGTCTCTTTACGTCTGCAGCGGCTTTTATCTGGATCAAACAGACATAACGGTAGGCCTATGTCTAATATTCTTGTTTAAATTTGGAAAACAGACTGTAGCCTATCATTAACATGACTTACTGCTGAGTTATATATAAAATAAAGACATGATCTCTTTTGCAGTTATCCTTATGACTACATTATTTAACTTGCTGTGTACCAACCAATCTAGTCCTTTTTACCTCTTAAAATATCTTTAAATGGCTAAAACAATACATAAAATGCAGTATTCTACTTGCCAGAGAGTGATTGCAGCTTCTACTTATTGACTGAAAGGTAGTTTCTGCCTCAAAATGACTTGATTTCATTCAGAAGAGTTATATTTGACAGAATATAAAACTGAAATTGTCCAACTTTTTCATTTTTCATTTCATTTCATGTAAAAACATTATATTTTTTAATGACATACTGACAACCAAACCAAAATGATTTCATTTCAGAAATCTGGTCACCTTAATGTTAGTGGAAGTTTACATTAAACCAAACCAACGTTACGAGTTACGTTTGCTAAACACATAGTCCCCATAACAAAAGCTGTATCTCTTTAAATGAAACAAGTGTGAGACAAGGTTATTATAGTTTGGATTTTTCATTAGTTTTTATTTTTATTTCGTTTTGACTTTTTGTTTTCAATTTCAGTTTAGTATTAATTAGTTTTTAATGTGGGTTTGCTAGTTTAGCTTAGTTTTTATTAGTTGTAGTGTTAGTTTTAGTCTTTGTCCCTGCAGGATGCCAAGCTCAGTTCAGTTTAGTTCAGTCTAGTTTATTTTTTTTTATTTTTATTTTTTTAAAAACATTAAAATACAAGTACAATCATTAGAAATACTGCAGATTTGTGAAAAGGGACACCATTTTTAAGCTATCTGAAGCTTTTACATTGGGGCCCAAACACTGAGCAAATATATATAATTCAAGTACAAGCAAGTTTATCCCACATGCAGGATGAGCACAGGATGTGACCATCAGAACAGAACAAAACAAAACAAAGAAAAGAAAACCACCAAGACAGTGACTCACTACCTGCAACCCAAACTAAACAAAACATAACTCTGTACAGTTGTTGCATTCATATTATTTTGTACACATGTATGTATAAAAGATAATAGAAAACATGTTCAAATCACCAACTACGCAGCCGATCCCTACCTGGGTCTCCCCGACTAAGTTAGCCTACCCCTAAGGTTACATGGGGCTCTCCTCATAGCAGCGGTCCCCACCTACAAGGTCCTATGAAATAAATAAATAAATGAAAACTAAGGACATTTACCCTTTCATTTTAGCTTATTTTAGTTAGTTTTGCAAACCTACAATCCAGTTTTAGTTAGTTGTCGTTTTTTGTAAAGCCTCGTTTTTTTATTTTATTTCAGTAACGATAATGTTTTTCGCATCTAGTTTTCGTCATTTCGTTCGTCTTTGTTAACGATAATAATCTTGGTGTGAGCCAGCCAAACAGGTTTATGTTAGAAAGAAGGTCCGACTTTTGGAGCTAACATTAGCTTAAAGAGCTAGCCTGCTACAGCATATAAAATCTCTTAGCAACAGTTGTCATTTTAGCTGGCAAAATTGAGGGTCGCTGGCTAGAAATGAAATCCCTGCCTGAATTAAATCATTATCCATCGTTTAAAAAAAAATTATAATTATTTACAAACAATTATTTATAAACAATTTCCTAGTTAAATCTGTCGGTGTTATTGTTGTAAATTGCATTATTTGTTATGCAAGAACAGAAGAGATTCACAGACGTGGCAACAGTAGCTAAGGCGGGTGGGCGAAAGGTCAATTGGGGACAAGCAGGGGCACAGATGGGTACGGGGGTCAGGTGACTGAAACTGTCGGCAACACACTAAGGCCAACTGCTGGTCAGACAGGATGTGGAATGAGTGGCAGGCGAAACAGACCAGAAAAATGTGCAAAAATTAAGAGCTGGCAGACGCCATGACAGTTAGAGTTAACATGGTGTCAGATTTTACACATACCCTGTGTGACAATGGCTTTGAGTGGAGTCATTTGATTAATGGCTGATTAGCACCATCCTGATGACTCAACCAACTGCCAACTTTCATCTGCCAATACAACTCTCGCTGGAGTTGTTCTCCGGAGCCGTAACCGGTCTCGATGGGAACTGAAACTACAATTTCAAGTGGATCAATATCATCCACAGTGCTTTATTAAAGAGAAACAGGCATTGGATTTCTGAGTTGTGCTCAATGTCTCCATATGTAGTATAAAGGTGAAATGTAATATAGCATACGATCATCTTGTTTCACATTTCCTTTTTATCGCCTTATATAGTATTCACAGTCAGAGCTCGAGATTACTTCTTTTCTTGTCTCCCACAGGTCTGCAAACAGTAAAAGCTCCTCTGTCTGCCGTCAGCTTTATTGAGTTACTCTATATTCCCACAATTCAATATCTGTGTGTGTGTGTGTGTGTGTGTGTGTGTGTGTGTTATGAAGATGACAGTGTGGAGAAACTGATTAGTCAGTTTATATTTATTTATGGCTTGCTATGATGATACAAGTTTGACTTTTTGGTATATATTATCCTACTGTAGACATAAGGCCCTTCAGATCAGCTATGCTTATCATCAGGGCTGCAGCCAGCAATTATTATTTTATTAATCTATCAGTGTCCCAGAGCTCAAGGCCGCACCTTCAAATGGCTTGTTTTGTGTGATTCGGTTCAAAGGAAATATATTAAATTTACAATAATATTAAACAGATGCTGTTGTTGCTTGGTGCGGTGACATGAATCTAAACCTGCAGCCTAGCTGTAAGGTGTGGGCATTCTGTTTGCTGGTGAAAAATAATGTTCAATAAAATAACCACACATCAATGAAATGTATCTAAATAAAATATATTTAAGAGCATTCCAAAAACTAACTTTGCCAGTGTTTAAAGCTGCTCTTATCAATATTTTTACATTAACAATGGGTCAATTGAACAGGGTTGCTGTTAGTTACAACCCACGGAGATTTATCACCCAACTCTGCAGTTCCCTGCTGCTCTAGGGAGCATTTTAGCGTCTTTCAGCGCACTGTTTTTGTTTTATGATCAACTTTACGGTTTTGATTGCGTTTCATCTCTCTTCTCTTTGTTGTTTTCAACCACAGCAGGCAACTGTCTTTAGCAAAAAGATTTTAAAAAGTACACTATCTGCCCTGCATCAGTCAGCAGACTAAGTTAGCAAGTAGCTGGTAAACATAGTGGAGCATTTAGCAGCTAAAGAGACATACTTCCACCAGGAGTTGGGTGGTCAGCAAAAACAGGAGCGAAAAGGAGAATAAATATTGGACTTTTGTGCTTTGTCTAGTGGACAGAAATTAAACTCCGAATGAATTTTAATGATGTAAGCCACTGTTTGCCAACACGTTCACCTTATCAACTTTGTATTGTTGCCTCAGAAGGCATTACTTTCGAGTGAAGGCATTTCTATGAACATTTTTGAACCACACAAACAAGCATTTGAAGAAATGTGTCTTGGAACTATAGTGACTGGCCTTTTCACTATTTTCTGGCATTTTAAAGACTAAATGATTTATTGATTAATCAAATAATAATGAAAATAACCCTTATCGTGAGGTACATGCAACAATAAACCACACCACTATATTATGAAGTGAAACTAGAGTACAGGACAACTCCAGAGCTATAGTGTAAAACTGTACCAATCATCTCTCTTTGTGTGGTCACAGGTCTTGGGGACACGTACACAAGCTCAATCAAACATGTTATTGACCGAAAAGTCCAAGTCCAATGATTGAGTACCAGATCGCTTCCCTCTTCCTTTATGTATCTGTATTTGGCCTGCCAGTTTCAGAGGACAAGAAATTAATCAGCCAAGCTGGCGGACTCATTCAGCTCAAGCTAATTAAGGGAGGAGAGCTCAGTAGACCCTTGAGTCACAGCCTTTAACTTAAGGCTTATAGTTTAGTGTAAATGCTTTGTAAGACCCGCTGGTGTCTACTATTACCAGGATGTGTTACCTTTGAACAAATGAGTGCCTGACTTATTCTCTCTCTCCCTTATTCTTATGCATAGACCTAAGCCAATGCAAACGATCTATGGATGGGATTGCTATTCTATCTTTCTTGCCCCAGCTGGCCTTGACTGAGTCTATTTCCATTATCCCACCCATCGATTCGCTCCAGCGCCTTTCTCGTGGCTGTTAATGTAATTGAATGGGGCATTTTTTTCCCTCTGTCCCCTTGGCATGAGTACCCACACACATACACTCACACACATTCGCTCTCCCTCTTTCTGCCAGATGTTGCCAGGGCTATTGAGCTCCTGGAGAAGCTGCAGGAGTCGGGTGATGTCCCCGGTCACAAGCTTCAGTCTCTGAAGAAGGTCCTTCAGAGTGAGTTCTGCACAGCCATCAGAGAGGTGAGTCACTGTCAAGGGAGGGAACCGCTGGTCGTGAACGCCAACATAACTGATATATTTTCATTCTTTCTCTTCTGTGAGACTCTTTTTATTTTTTTGATGACCTTTCTACGCCTTGCTATGGTGTTTTTCCTATTAACCATTTCCTTGGAGTTGCTTTTGAGAAATGTGTTGCTCTATCACCTGTTCAGTCACAGTTGCTGTGTTGTCCATCTCAAGACCTTAATACTTTCTTCTGTTTATTCCAAACAAACCTGGAAAGTAGTAGTAAGCATAGTTTAGCTTGAACTTTGCATGGGAGTTATCCCTTAACTTTGTAAAGTTGCAACACTTTACAAAGTTACTTGCAATGAGATACAACTGAAATTTCAAATTTATACCTTCCTTGAGCCTGTGTTAATATACCTTCAATAAAGTCGGAATGAATAGGGAGATGGTAGAGACTGATGTTTCAAGAGCTTGAGCAAAATTAGCATATTGTAAAAATTGTTTTGTTTTCTAGTCCTTAAAGTGAAGTGAATTTTCACCTTGCATTATTGTCTTGAAGTTGACCATTGGTCTCTTGTTGTAGTCTGTGCTTATTCACCCCAAACAGCTATGTGACCGGTGTTAGCTACTAGCTAGCTAGAAATGTTTGAAGGTTTTTCTGTTGTTTCCCTCCCTCTTTCATCTCTGTCCCAGGATAAGCACACATTTTTCACTCATGTTGAAACATTTATGGACATTCGTATGACAGAAGACAGAAGTTTTCAAGATGCTTTTGTTGATGTTGGGATTATATATGACCATATTTTTCCAGTATGTCAGAGATGGAATCTCGACCTTGGGGAAAAAAACATCACAGAGTGTAAATAATGAGACGATCTGAAAAAGACAAGCGTCGTTAGCTTTAGCATACTTTTTCTCTCTGTTAGATGTATGTAGCCTTCTCTCTTATTACCACAATGCTGCACAGGATGAAAACTTCACACTAGGTTACTTATGGTCAGTTTAAGTTATAGCTATAGCGCAAGTGAATACTTAAGCAATAGCTCACGACAGGCCGTGGTATACGTTTATTATATCACAGTTAAGGGGCATTGGAAACTGTGATATAATAAGCATATATCATGGCCTGAGGTGAGCTACTGTTACCAAGTATGGCAAAAAGAAAGTAGGCTAACTTGATTTTATTTTATTTCATCAACAGACATTTCTTTATGAATACAAAAAGTAGCTCCACCAGGCTGTCGGTAGGCTACATAGCGCATGACTGTTGCTAAGCAACATACATCAAGGGCTAGAATTCTTAGAACTATTTATTTATATTTATTTGCACGTTGCCGTTGATTGTGCAGCCTCTAAAAAACTGTCCAACGTCAGGAGATTGACTTTGGTAACTTGTAATATAATATGCTTGCTACTGTGTGCTGGCAGCCAGCCTATCATAAAGGGCAATAGTCTTTTGAAAAGGCTATTGAAACTTAAACTTTGTTAGAATATCGCAGACATCTGGGTCAAGTAGTGGACTTCTGTGTGTGTGTGTGTGTGTGTGTGTGTGTGTGAGAGAGAGAGGGAAATGCTGAATCAGGTAATAAGCAACGATTTCTCTCTGTCTCTCTCTTCCACTCTCTCATTATATATTTATTTATCGGAGTGATACTGCTCTGTGCAAAGGAATTGGACATCACACCCGTTGTATGCGCTTATTGTATCACGATGTATCACTATCAACCCATCAGATTGCTTGATTTGAGCTACCCGTTTTATAAAATAGCACATTTTGTATTTAGGTAGTTACAACATAACATTTATCATTGTAGCATTTAGCAACAATTTTACACCTACCTTTTTGATTAGCTGGTGCTTCTGGCTGCTTCAATATTCTAAAAGCTGTTAGTTGTTCCATGATTTGGCTATACTGTATAGATCAACGATAACACTTCCTGATTTTGTTTCCAGGCCCTAATGATGTAAATTGAGAGGAATTATGACTATAAAACAAAATCTGAGTGTACCTTTAAGTCACTGTTGTGTAACATCAATCACAAATGACTGCAGCATTATGAAATGAGATTAATGCTCTGCCTTATAACTGCTGGAGCTGAACAGCAAAATTCACAGGGGCACAGTGAATTTTTGACAGCATGAAAACATTATGACCATTTCATAAACTTGAATGTTTGATAAGCTTGCTACACTGAATTTTAATTAAGTAAATCACTGTTAAGAGATTGGTCTTTATCACATTTTACACTGATGGAATAAAATGTCAATCAGCAGGAGTTAGTAATTTTTTCTCTTGTTAAAATGGTTAAATTCACATGCATGCAAACAGCCACCCACATCATCTAAACACCAGTCATCAGAAGTAGTTGGTGCAAAGCAAACAAGAGCACTCACTCTATATGACACCACTACACAGGCTGATAAACACAGATCTTGTATATTTAGTTACCTGTCTGTTGTGATACACTGAAGCATCACCCAGTGACATGTATTTGTTAAGCAAACAGGAGTTTGAAGAGCAGTGAAACGGATGATAGATGCCACAATGGCCTCCTTGATGCAAGTTAATTGTAAACAAAGTGAACAAGTAAATTGTCCAGGAATGAAAGCAGACAATTAGCAAGCTCAATCAGTATGTCGGGGAGATGCTGAACTTTATTTTCCAGAGGTAATTGTGTTGTAAATTAAAGAGATTTAAATGAAAGAGAAATAAAAGAGTAAATAAAATACATTTTACAGCTTCAGAGCACAAAATGACCTTAATATGGTGTAGAATATCTGTATCAATGACAAGGGCTTCAAGGCCAGTTGCCGAGATGTTTGGTTAACAAAACTAAGCCATAAAAGGTTCTAGTACCTTCTGTTTGTAACTTAAATATTTGGAAGATAGTAAAAAAACAAAAACCTCATGATTGAGAACTGATGTAACTTTATCACAATTTTAAACACCAATACAAAGCGGGGTCATATTAGTTTGAATGCTACTTAGCAATACATTTTTATACAGCTAATTGTCTTTGCCAAAAACATTTGGAAGAAATGTAATTTCTGCCTTATGTTCATCCCCTCAGTTCAGGTAGTGTGACATTCTTAAAGTTTTTCTGATTTTGATTTCTGATGCCTTGACCCTTATTTGGTTTAGGCTGGATTGGTTAGATTGTGGTCTTAACCAAAACAATGATCTTTTTCTAACCATAACCTATGTGTTTTAGTAAACTAAGCCTGACAAAACATTTGACAAGGCACAATTAATCCGAATTATGCTTTTAGTTACCTAAATATAACAATAAAAACGGTGATGATGCTTTAGTTGCCAGGAGAGGATATTGTAGGAAACCGAATTAGATAAGTTGGCAGTGAACATGATTTGTTCAGACTACACATTTCGTTGTTATTGTGATTTTTTTGATTGATTGCAAATTGGTTTATATAAACACAATTATTAGGAGACAACACAGCCCCAAAGAGGCTAAATTTGCCAGTGCATCAGTTCCAAAAACTATTTAAGGAAGGTCTGGAAAATCATGACAGCCTGTGTCACATAAGCTGTATCACAAGAAAAACTGCAGCTAGAATTTGAAACTAACCAGCGGATCTATACAGTGGTGGGCTGACAAATAGCTGCAGTAAGGTACTTACTTGTAGGGTGGTGGTCAAGCAGTGCTGGGAAGTCATTTTGTGCTTTTAGTCAAGTATTGTAGATACATATTTTGAGATACTTGTTCTTTACTTTATACTACTCCCACTATTGGCACATTATATTTTTACTTTAAAAAATTATGATCATCTTTGAAAATTTCATGCATATTTAAAGACGGAATAGAGGTCAGTGAATACATAAATTACGTTATTCACTTACAGTACATCTCTGTAGTCTTTATTAGCATATTTCCTATAGATACTGATTATAAGCTTTATTTAATATATGTGGGAGTTAATAGTAAGTAATTTTCCAGCTAGTGTCTCGTTATGATAATGAACCAGCCCTGGCAATGACACCAATTAGGAGAAATTGCTTCTGACAGAACATTACATAAAACCCCCTGACATCATGCAAAGGGACAGAAAGAAAGAAAGCACTGGTCTTCTCCTTTCACAGGGTCCAGTTCTGCTCTGGCCTGCTCGGGGAAGCCTGGCTCATCCTGACACCAACTTGCAACCGGCTGACTGATCTCAGTGCCAGTCACTGGAGTACAATGACAAAGATTCTCAAAAGGGCCTCTGCAGCAGCAACAGATGCCCTTTGCCAAGAGGCAAAGATGCAGACCACTTCACCCACAAAGAGCTGGCTAAACACAGTCACCAGGGAAACAATCAGAGATGCTCTGGGATTAGTGGGCTGCAGTGAGGTTGAGCATGGTTTGTAGTCGATTACAGGTTTGTGAGAGCCAATTACACAGCAGCTTTTCTATATGGTGCTGAGGCAGATGGAGGACAGGTTGTAAGTGCTGGCTATTGCATACTGTAGATTATTACTGTTATTATGCAGAGCATTAAATTAGTTGCTGTGGTGGAATATCACAGTTCTCAACAGCTGTGTCCTCTGATGCACACAATTAGAAGAGACAATCTTAAACTGGAAGGGAATCTCAGTGGGAAAGCAGCAAACAACAACCACAGGCTTCACTTACCAGATGATCTGTTCTTCTAACACATGGCATCCCTCTATTTCAGGCACAAAAATGTTTTCAACATCACTTTGAAGAATCACAGTGGGGGTTTTAAGTTTTAGCCCATTTACTGGAATTTGCATAAATACAGTATTCTTCACATTACTGCTAACCATTTATCAAAATGTTGTGTTTTGTATTTTTTAATGTATTTACCTACTTTGCAGGCATCCGACTGATTACCATTCACTTTAAATAGCAGAGACTTAAAAATGAGTTTAGAGACCGTTGGTAATCCTTTCCGAAGGACACTTTAGTGTTTCCTTGTCAGTGCTAAAACATAGTTTTAATTTATGTGTTCATGTGTGTTTTCACGTGGTCATGTGAGCATCAAGTTGTGGGACTTGAACACAACACAACAACACAGCAACATTATTTTCACTCAATTTGTGCATATTGTTTGTCTTTTGGGTTTGACTCATTTTATTTGAAATATCAGATGTCGGAGCTCCCACAGCACATTAATACACCCCCTTTATGGAGAGAAGCACTTTCAACCACAAAATGATAACACAACTTTGATGGAATATAAGTCCCAAGCAATTTTGTCTTGTGTCTATGAAAGTTGATTTTGAACATAAAATACAAAAACAAAAGTTTGACTAATATGAACCCATCAACCAAAAATGCATCCATCAGTCTAAAAATGTAATATAGCTTTGTAGTAAATGGATAACAAAAGCAAAAACACTCGTCCTTTAATGGGAACAATTTTCCTCCATTTTAAAGCCTTTGTTTTTTCAAACCTTGCTATATAATCAAATTCTGATTCATTTTGCTCACACCCACATCCCTTTCCTGAATGTCATACGTAAGTGTTAACCATTATCAAGTTAAAAGACCCATAAAGCACAGGTTAAACTGTAAGTCCAACACTCTTGTTGTTCATTTTGATCACACAGACCTTTGTGACATTTCATTATAACAGATGACCTTTCTTTCACAAGTCCAGGCCTTGTGTAATCTGTGATATGGTTCCTTCCTCCGCTACACATATGCGATGTAGCTGACTTTAACAGTCTGGTGGACCGGCGCAAAGCCTGACAAGATAGACATACTAATCTTGTCTATAGAGTAAAAACCCTACTGTAAGCCCACCTCTAAATCTAATCCCGTACACTACATCTATAGAATTTACCTAACATGAATCAGTTTTAAGCAATTAAGGATGACATGATATGAAGAATGGATGGCAGGGGAAAAAGTCTGTTCAGCAGTGTTGGGCTAAATGACGGAGAGACAGAGTTTGATGAGCTGGTTGTCTTTTCCCGCCACGTTCGTCCGTACGTTAGTCTCACTGCATCAGCCTGAATGAGTTGTCAGGGTCAATCAGCCTTGCAAATGGGAAAGGAAGGACACAAGACGAAATGACTGGAAGAGCTAACCAGCTGGAAATGACGGAGAGTGGGAATTCACAATATATCAGGTTAGAGAGTCCCGCTTGGCGAACACAGGAAGTGCAGAAAGCAGGCCAGAGCAATCGCATCTTTCTGCAGCTTAAACATTGCAGTTGATTTTCCACTTCAGCAGAGAATTTCAATCAGCGTAATTGACTGTGCTTTTTATGAAAGCAAAAAGCATGCAAAGGCGGAGGGTTTGTGTTGATGCCATCACGGTGCCTCTGCAGCCCTCATCACATTAAGTTAAAGGACAAAAGGTACATTAAGTCAGTCCATGCAAGTTCAGTATTTTCCCTCTGTGTCATGGTTAGCGCCGCCGAGAGAGAAAGTGTGTTACGTCCTGTGTTTGTTTTAATCCTTTTCCAGCAACATCAGCCAGCCTCTGTTTTGCCCATCCCCCTCAATCCTCTCCGTCTCTCTGACTCAGTAGAGGAAGCAAGAAGCCATGGTTACAAGCAGCATTGTCACATCAGTTTGCCCTGCAGGCATCTCTTTCTATTCTCTGGCTTTGTGGCATCCTCCTTGTAAGTACCAGTGCTGGTATCAGGAATAGTGTGTGCATGTGTTTCACCATAATCCACTGTGGTGTACCAGGGAAGAAACAAGTAGGAGAGGAAGGACTGAAAGTGCCAGTGTTTGAGGAATGGGTAGTAAAGATATCTAGCAAAAGGAAAGACAGAAGGGGAATTGAAAAGATGCCTGCAGGACAACTGGCCTTTTTAGAGCAAAGTGCAGCCAAAACAAGAGCAGACTGACATTCAAAAGCACAAAGCTGTTTGTTATATGTCACGACTCTGTTATTCAGGGGGCTGCATCCCGGTTAAATACGTAGAGAGATATTAAACGTGCGACTTGCTTTACCTGTCAGTTAGCTATAATTTCATAGGCACAAATAAAATGAATAAACTAGGAAATATTGTGAATAGAAGAATTCTATGGCCGATATTATTTTTTCCCTTTATTTTAAAAAACACATAACATAAACAAAGATAATCACCTAACATTTGTTATGTTGAGACCTCACCAAGATATCATGCATTATGCAGTTTAAAAATAAACATATTTATTGTTAGAAATAGCACTTTGAACACTTGCTGGAAGGGTAAATATATCATATTATATCATTTAGCTACTTGATAAAGGGATGATTTCTCAGTTTGTTTGGCTGCACCAATCTGCCAACAAATAATTGAATGCTGCTTCATGATTATTCAGTCTCAAAAATCATAAGTTTTTAATCTTCTTTTGCTTTCAGTACAAATATCAAAAATACCAAAAATCGCACGGACTTCAAGGAGAGTTGCAAATGTCTTGTTATTTTATGGTGAGGCACTGTCATACTGTATAAAATACTAAGCAGAATCATATATTTCATCTAATAAATGAGAAAGGAATGCAAAAACATATTAGGATATACACTGGTAAGAAGGCTTCCCTGGCGTTCATGGTGGTCATTAATTAAGCCTTCAACTGCAAAATAAGTTTCTCTGCATCCTGTGAGAGAACTGAAAACACTCTTCTTTAATTCACCACTGTGCCACTGCTCTCTCCCACATATTAGATGCCAATTTCCTTTGCATAAACTCCTGAGCCATTACAAAACATACACATATATACATATATATATATACATATAATAGAATCCAGAGTCCAAAAGCCATTACTTTCACAGACAGGTGAAGCTAGCAATGTTGCAAATTCTATATCTGAAAAGTACTAAGAATGACAGACAGTTGCAGGTAGAATAAATAAGAATAAGTAAGTGTAATTAGCAGTTGCAGTAGTAAGATAACTGAGGGAAAAAGAAAGACACTTTGCAGGCAGACAGAGGCAATGAAAACCTTTCGTGGCATTTATAAAGCTCTGCTCAGCCTCGAAAAGTGCAAAGGTGGAAAAAGTCCTTGGGAAAAGGTGTCATTTGTGAGAAAGTGTGTGGACTGCATGCTCTTTTTCTCCGAATGCATCAGTGCTACAAATCTACAAAAATATGTTGCAGTCTGAAATGCTGCACTCTCAAAAGCCACTCATTTGGTCTTTGAGATTCATGAGCAAACAAGACAACAGAAGCTCAGGGATGTTTTTTTCTCCATATCTTCATACAAATATCTCAGGGTTTAAGTATATTTCCTTTTGATGATTCAGAGAAGCAAGGCCTTTGTAATGATGTACCATGGTACATCAAAACTATGGGCATGTTCGCTTCCAGGCAAGCTGCCATGCTTTGATGAGAGACATCATCTAGTGAGTGGAACCAGATGAAAAAAATTCATTTCTGAGCAGCAACATCTAATATGTCATAGACGATGGTTTTGAGTTTAGTTTGCACTGAGAAATGTACAGTATTCTTACTCTGATTAAGATTTGATTGCTCATTTGCTTAATTAACGGCAACTCCCTTAAATGCAACTTTAGAACAAGTAGATGTGTTTGTACTTGGAAAACTTGTCTGCTGAAATCATGTGATCTCTGCTGTAATTTATGTTTTTAACCAACTCAGCAAAACATTTCCTCTGAGACTTTTTGTAATCAGCTCATACACCTCCATCCTTTTAAACATCCTCCTATTGTACTGTTCATTATTTGGTTTCAGCAGTGGAGGGAAGTGGCATATTTGATATCTGAAAGCTGCAGTACATCCTGGTTTGGTGGAGATATATTTGAATGGCAACATTGAAAGGTGATCTTAAAGAAACAGGTATTTTATGTTACAGTATAGTCACCATACATCCTCATTCAACACTGTCACTGTCTTCTTTTCTGTTTTACTCTTTGAACAAGTTCAGTTGTGAGGTGTCTTTAAAAGACACGTCTTAACTGGAAAGGTCAGCTGTCTTCAGCATTGATTCTGCCTGCCTCAGTGAATAGAACCTTGTTTTTCACCCAACTGGACATACAGCAACACATATCTTGGCACCATTTCAGGCCCAGCATAATGCTTTACTGCCTGTTCTGGAGACTTTTTGTGTTGTTAATAAAGTCAGGACCAGATTATGCCGCCATTTCCTGAGCTGAGGGTTATCTTTTATTATTTGCTAAGAAATGTATGCACACCAAGGTGCTTTATGCAGGTGAATTATGGTAAGACTTACATTATATAATCTTCAAGGCCTGTGCCCTTGCACCCTAAAACATCTTTAATGCAGTAATTGAAATAGTCTCTTATATTCTCTGAGAGTTCTTTTATCATCTCTGAGAGTCTCATTTCTCTTCCTCACTTACCTGACTCGCTGCTGATGTTTGCAGAAAGTCTTTACATTTCAAAGGGAGTGTGTGTTACAAGACGTCTTTTTTGAGCAGTACTTTTAGTACTAGCTTCCTATAACTCTGGGCCTGAGTGCCGTTTTTTTTTTTTTCTCCATCAGTCAGCGTGTTAATGCATTACATGTCTGTACAGACAGCTGTGGAGGAACACCATTATTTATGGAAATGGGCTCAGATGCAGGGTGGGGATTTCAGTGAAGCATAATTATAACACCTGACTCTCTTCATTTCTTTCAGGTGTACCAGTACATGCATGAAACAATCACGGTGAATGGCTGTCCAGAGTACCAGGCGAGGGCCACAGCTAAAGTAAGAACTGCTTTGCAGATGGGCCCTATTACAGAAACTTCCTAACCGGCAGATCCTATCCTAACTGCTTTGCAACCATGGTAATAAGGGTTAGGAATTGATTTAGGAAAAAGGCCATTACAGATTAAGAGTTTCTAAGTCAATATTCCTTTCCTAACGTAAGCTAGGAATAAGTGTATTACAGAAGCATTCTAGGTTCATAAAATCCTAAATAAACTCTCCTAACTTTAGGATAACTGTTAAGCTGTCCTAACTTTTCCATCAGGTAGTGTTTAATAACTCGTTTAATTCACATGGCTGCTCTTTTGTTGTCTTTACAAAATCAACAAAATGTCAACAGGTGAAACTTATTAATTGAGCTACCGATGTGTATGATGACAAAAAACTTGTTAGTAGAAAGGTTGCAGGGTAACGCTAGCCTAATGTCTAATTATTATGTTACATGCTTGATGTACCAAAAGTAACCCATCCTAATGCAAGTCTTTGATAGAAGGAGATCGTTAAATTCAAGAAATACATAAAAACATCATGACGTTAGCCTGCAGCCTTTATTTTTTATTTTTTTTTTTACCTTCATTAACTTTCTCGAGAAGAGTACGGGTTTCTGCCAGGGTCAGTGAGGGAGCACAAGAGGAGCCACTACCTGTTTTCCTCTGCTCTTTGGACACAACAGTTGCCTTTCTTTTCGTATCACTTATAAATGGACTTATTTTCTTTTTAACAGCATCAACGCTCTGCTGGATGCCGGATATGCGGCGGTGACTGTGTCCGCTATTTTAGCCCACTCTCTCTCCTTAATCTCTCGAGTTAAGCATTACGTGAATTTTGATTTCTCGACGGAGATTACCAACACCTCTAAGTCATCTGATTTGAAGTTCAGTGATAGTTGTTATTTCTGTTCCATTTTTCAGTTTGTTTCATTAAAAAAACTACTGCAAAACAGCGATTAAAAGCCGTTTAGCTCACGAGATGAGAAAAGTGGCTAGGTAATAGACATGAAAGTTGATAACCGATGTTGGGTTGAGTATTTAAGATTTCCTAACCTGAGATAAGATAGGATTCACTTCTATAATACCAAATTGGGAAAAAGATTCTTCCTATCTTAACTTATGACTTAAGATAGGAATTTTCTGTAATACGGCCCTGTTGACTGTTGAGACAGCTATAACTAAAAGTGAAAGTTACTGAATTTTACATGACTTTAAGCACAGGATGTTCCCGCCTAACTGAAAATGTGAGAAATGACTCCCAAATAACTACAGAAAAACTTCAAAGAACTGTTAAATAGCCTAGACACGGAAGTCCACTGGATAACCAGCCATTGCACTTTAGTTTCTTGAATTTCCTTCAAGGACAGTAACATAACCAAACATTTTCTCTAATAATCTAATCCACAACCTACAGTCCCTCCCATGTAAACAGACTGGCATGTGAATAGGCAGCTAACATCTTTGTTTGCTCTGGTTTAGACTCAGAGACAAGGAGGATGATTTATGTAAAGTTTGTTCAGAAAGCGGCTCACACCGCTTGCCCTAATAGCTATAAGTTGTTTTGCCTGCGTCGTTAAAGTGGAGGTGCAAAATTAACATGACCCATATTCAGAATGGCAGGGCAGGAATTTGAGTTAAATTCAATATCAAACCATTAGATTCAATTAAAACCTGTAAAATACCATTTAAAATTTAGCATACAATAATCAGTTTAAACATTTCAAATTTAAAACTATTAAATTAAGATTCAATTTGTGCTGGCAGTAAAATAACTCAATAAAAGACTGACAGCATATCACAAAATCATAAATATCCTTTTGAATCCACTAGAAATTCCAGCTCTTCATCATTGTCAGTAACTAAATGTCTTTTGAGCTGTAAATCTTTCTTTAATTCCACATTAAATTCACCGAATCAGATCTTTATACTGCCTTACTCCCATAAGACACATTTTCTTTGCTATGAACACTGATGATTAAGTGCAGATTTAAATCAAACCAAGATAAACTATTTCTGTATTCACTTTGCAGGTTTTCATATTTAAAAACGGTCCAGTGGTCGCATCAGATTTTTTAGGTGGCAGCTCGTATCTGTTAATTGATCTAATTCATACAGGATGTCAGTATTTAAAAAGTGTGTCCTTTTATTTCTATCTTTGCTTCTTCCACTCGACTGTTTAATATTTCAGGAAGATGTTTTTTGTTGCATGCTGTTTAGAAACGATCACATCTGTGTCAGAGGTGAAATGTCTCAATACGAATGGAGACATTTCCATGCATATCGTGAATGGAATAAGCTAATTTTGGTATGCAGAAGAGATGAGCTTGACCCGGTCATTTGAAAAGGACTTGTCATCAGCACCTCGCCTGCAAGAGACACAGGCTTTTATGAAAGATAACAAAGTGGGCAGGCTTGTCTGATTTCATGCCGATAATGAGGATGATGAGAAGTGGAGAGGAGATGAGAGCACCTCTCTGTCCTTTAGTGGTTCAGTGTCCAGCTGGATCCACTCCTCTTCAGTACATCACAGGGAGTAGGGGGACCAGGTGGATTTGAAAACAAATACATGACAAAAGTAGAGTGTATCTTTGTGTTTATGCAGATTGTACGAGGTTTCAAATAATGAGTGCTCCTGACCAGATCTTTCCTCTCTTGTTCCTCCAACCAACACTCTTCCTTGATCGTAATACGGCAGAGCATGGTGAATTGCAATTGAACACCTGGTTAAAGGAATAGTTTGATATGTTGATAAACACACTTATTTACTGTTTTGCTGAGAGATGAGAAGATTGATACCTCTCACATGTCTGTGCTGAAGTATGGACTAGTATCAGGGGGTGATTAGCTACAATTAGCGTAATCACTGGAAGCAAGGACACCTCTAAAGCTCACTCATTAACAGGTTACAGCTTATTTGTTTAATCTGTACACAAACACAACAGGGATTTTTTCATTTTTTAATGAATGAATAAACATATTTCCCACAATATAAAACTGTTCCTTTAAAAGGTTTGCACAAAATTAGACATTTAAAATTTGTCTGAATCTTATAAATTATACATCTGTTACTGCATTTGGAATATCTCCTGCCATTTGTCAAGTGGGCACCATAGTCTGATCTAAAAAAATAACTTTATTAATGGCCAGAGTAGGGTAATTTCCCTCTGCAAAGAAACTGTGATAGTTAAGCTGGAGGATAAAAGTAGTTTCTGTCTGTTATTTCTAAGCTCATAGCAACCATGAGGACATGATTTAAGAAGATTTAAAACTCCTTCGTAATTTTCTTTCTTTGACCCAAACTTTGAGAAGTTGCAGCTCCTAAATCTGTATTAAAATTGCCGAACAATTAAGCACACAGCTAAAGGCCTGAGCCAGCTTAGCTGTGGGGACACTCTAAACTGGGGACACTGGATGTTTTTAAAAGTTTTTTTTTTTCTGTCTAGAGATAACCATTATCCCAGGCCACAGTTCCAATTCCATTCAATCAGTATCAGACATATCGGCTACCTGTAGTCTGAAAGGAAATGATGGATACTGTGGCAATGGTATTGAAAATGTATATTCTATAATAACCTGCCAAGGCAACAATGACAAAATATGACGCCGCTTCAATTCATCTGCCACTCGAGTACTGAAGTTAGTGGGACAACAGATCTCCCAACAGTTGAGATTTGTGTTTCACCTGAACAACTCGATTCTCTTTGATTGCTTCATTAATTAAATCTATTCAGCCTCTAATTCCTGGCTCGAGGCCCTTATTACTGATCTTAATGGAGACTGGGACTATCAGGGCCGTGTGGGCTCCAGAGGAAATGATCAAGTGACGGTGGACGTCTAAGCCATACTTATGCTGTACAGTGCATTGTGGTTATCAAATAAGTATCCTCTAGCAAGCTTTTCATTTAAAATGTCTCCTGTGTTTGAAAGGCGCCGGCCATCTGCCAGACTGTTTTTTTGTCCGCAGAAAGCCAGATAAAGTTGTGAAGGTCGATGTGCTGTGAGGCCTGGGAGGTGACGGTATGCATGCTGAGGAGCTGCCTTTTAGTTTCACAATGGCAGAGGGAGGAGAAGAGGAAAAAAGGAGAAGGACAGAAAGAGAAAATGGAGGGAGAGGGGAAATAGTCAGAATACAATAACCTGATTAAAACAGGCAGCGAGAGAGAAGAAAGAAATGAGTGAAACTGTTAGAGCAGAAATGAATGTGGGTATGAAGATGCATATGAATATGGAAGAGAGAGCGGAGATAGGGATGCTGCCTGGAGGGAGCGTCAAAGACCTCAAAGTGCCAAGCTACTTGTCTGCTGCTGGGGAATTTGGATACACATCTGCAAAAGCTTCTGACAGAACCTCCCCTCCACTACTTTTTTATCCTCCTTTTTCCCGATCTACCTAGATGATGTCAACTTGACAGCGAGGCACCTGTGGCAATGCATCTGTGGATCAGCGGGCACAGGGTGTCTCTTTCTCTGTTCGTCTGCCATTACCTTTCCCAGACTCAGCTAACAAGCTCCTGGGCGCTTTATTCTGAACGTACAGGGAGCAAGGAGCTTGGCTTGTGGTTCAAAGAAACCCTGCGGCCAGCAAGCAACATTAACCAGCTGGTAGAAATACAGAGGGTGAAAGTTGTCAGGCTGCTCCTGCAGTGTGAACGTGGATGTGTTAATCCGTGTGATTAAAAAGCTAGAGAACTTCTCGTGTGGAGTCTAAATCCCCAGCCCTGACTAAACCCTAACACTTTGTAATAGCCGTCTACCTTCACAATCATTTTGTAATACTTGGTTTTCTCCTATGCATTCATTTTGAGTCTAATGAAGCCGACTAGGAGCCAGTGAAGACTGCATGCCAGCTCAGGGGTTCTCGGGTCTCAACAATTTGAAGGGGGCAAGCAAGTCATGGCAAAAGTTGTGTAGTGCACTCTAGGCTTAACCTTCCCCATTTTGATAGTTACCTAACTGTGAACAAAAGACTGTTCGTAGAATTTTGAGCTTTTCTCTCAGTGGTTAGGTTAGTGTTAGCCCTTGTATGAGTACATTACCCATAAAGTCTGTTATCTCAAGTGATAAAGGAGAAGTTTTCTTAGTTCTTAAGATTTTCTCTTGCTTTGCCAGTAGGATCAATTTTTTAACCATTTGAGCGTTGAAGTTAATTTTTGACCATTTGTACTCACTTCAACCCAGTGTTACACAATATGTGTGTGGCAGCTGACTGCAATGGTTTTATTATATATTGTAAAATGTCTCAAAATATGTACATACAGTTTTTTTTAGGGTTTTGGCATAGTTACTAGTAAGATGATGTGTGTTTTTTTCATTAAGCACCATCTTGCTTCTCTTCCTTCAGGCTACAGTTGCAGCCTTCGCAGCCAGCGAAGGTCATTCCCACCCGAGGGTGGTGGAGCTGCCCAAGACAGAAGAAGGGCTGGGCTTCAATGTGATGGGCGGCAAGGAGCAAAACTCCCCTATCTACATCTCTCGCATTATCCCCGGAGGCGTGGCTGAGAGGCACGGTGGCCTAAAGCGAGGGGATCAGCTCCTGTCTGTCAATGGTGTGGTAAGTCTAACCAGATTTACATTTTGATACAGCGTTTGGGGAGAGAGGCTTGAAATGTGGATTGGAGGGAGAGTGTAGATAAGCTTTTCTTTTTTATTATTACAGCCTGCTTCCAAAATATATATTTAATTGAAATATTTTTGCAACTTCTCACAATATGGAGCAGTGTTTGATATGTAGTTTGACGTGTTAGTCAACAATCAGGAGAGCTACTGAGATCAAAGTGCTGCATATGTCTTAAATAAGGAGCAGAAGCATTTCTCCAGCCGCTAGCGAGACTTGAATAACACTGACTTTAAGACTGCTCATTTTCCCATAACATCACAGGGAAATAAGAAGGGGAGTTACTATTTTTAAAAATATATTCAAATCAGCGTCCTTTAAAATTCCACTCTCTCTGTCTCCAAACCCCCTGCAGAGCGTGGAAGGAGAGCACCACGAGAAAGCGGTGGAGCTGCTGAAGGCGGCCAAGGACAGTGTAAAGCTGGTGGTTCGCTACACCCCCAAAGTGCTGGAGGAGATGGAGGCTCGCTTTGAGAAGCTCCGTACGGCCCGGCGGCGCCAGCAGCAGCAGCTCCTCATGCAGCAGCAGCAACAGCAGAACATGACTTCTCAGCAGAACCACATGTCGTAGGTGAGGCGCTTCATTGCTTTAAGGGTGAGGCGGACACCAGGCACACGAGGTAAAACACAGCCAGAGAAGAGGATGTTGTCAAGAATGAATAGCCAGTCCCAAATTTTAATAGGCTGAGACACATTGGAAGCTGATGTCAAAGAGGTGGTATTATGCTCATTTTCAGGTTCAAAATCTTAATTAGGGGTTTTACCAGAACAGGTTTACATGGTTTAATTTTCAAAAAACACCATATTTTTCTCATACTGCACATTGCTGCAGTCCTCCTCCTCCTCCACCCTATGTGTTGTACGCTCCACTCTGGAGCTACAGAGTGATGCATCTTACTTATACAAAATCTTTGTTGGGAGTTGCACATGCGCAGTTCCCAGGTAAGGAGTACTAGCCAATCAGAAGCAGAGAAGGGCGGGTCGTAAGAAACAAGGTAGTGTTATCCAAATCAAAGGCGCTTCAGACTGTGACCGTAACCCAGCAGATGGTTTAAGTTATTAGCAGTCCACAACCACACAACATCATTGTTCCGCATCTTACCATCAGGACTAAACCTTGAACTGTTGTCGGTGTTCTGACGATCTATGCTGCCTTGCCGAAAAATGCTACCATAGCGCAAATCGATAGACTCGACTCTACTCGGCCCTGCTCCGTTTTTCGTTGCAGATAGTACCCAGAGATAGTACGTAGCTTGTTGTCATAGCGACGCCAAACACAACTGCCGCGATGTACTGTTTAATGCGACACACACACTAGCGATCCATACAGCTTTCTCTTTAAGTTTAAAGCGTTTCAACATTCCTCAGAATGTAAAGACAGATAAGCGGTATGAAAACCTTCCAGCTGTGTTTTCCTCTGCTGCTTTTGCTGCAGTGGTCTGTGTGACGGCGGGAGCAGAGGGCTCTGTGAGCGGGCGGCTGGCCGGCCTCCCGCGGGTTGGCACGGGCTTCCCCCGCAGCCACTTGGGGTGCTCCTCAACTTCGACAATATTCAAGCACATTCTTGTTCCGCCATCTGTCAATATTCGAAATCTACACAGCTGATTTATCACCTCAAAACTTCTCATAAGTGGATTTAGTTATGAAATTCCATACAAAAACTGTAAAATATAAAACTTTCTGTTGCTGGCCTCTGTCTGGTGCAGCAATGATGATGCAGTGAATAGTGAATATTCTATCTGACCAATCAGCAGTCTGTCGTGTTTTCATGTTACATTTTAGTTTCCCTCAGCTCGCTTGGAACCTCCATGGAGGTGAGGTGATACGAAAAAAAGAGCCAAAGGGCCTCCGCTCAGACTAGCTTGGTTTGAGGGCGTGTCTGACCCCGCTAGCCGCTTGGCAAGCTTTATGACGCGTTTTCATTGTGATGTCACAAGTAAAGGAAGTGAAGGGCTGGACTACAAACGAGCTGTTTTAAAGCGGTTCAGAGCAGAGCTTTCTGTGGGAGATGGGAACTCCCTTTGGACTGGACTTTGGGCTTTTTCACTTTGCAAACCTGTTACATGCACAAGAAAGACACATAACTCAATAAAGGAGAGGGGGGAAGCCAAAAAGCATAATACCACCTCTTTAAGTATTTTGGAAAATATGCTTATATCTGCCACTTTCGCTGCCAGTCCCAAGTTTAAACTACACAACTTTAAACCAGAATAGTTGACAGTTTTGGAAATACCCTTATTTGAGATGAGAAGATCAATGCCAACCTGTGGATGCTAAATATGAAGCAGTTATGACAATATGACAGTTAGTTTAGCTCAGCATTAAAATTGAAAGCAGGGGAAAACAGCTAGCTCTGCCCAGAAACAGAAATGTAAAAATGACTAATTTGTGGGTGTTTTCGAGGTTTGTCACGAAATAGTTACAGCACATCTCCATAAAGCCATGAATCCATTAAAAAAAAAAAAAGTGTGCTTAGTGATCTTTAGTCCTGGTAGAAAATAATTTTTTACCTTTTGACAGAGTCAGGCTAGCTGTTTCCCCGCGCTTGCTAAGCTAACTGTCTCCTGGCTTCAAATTTAGTAGTCGATGATTCGATGCTTCGATAGGAGGAACCTGATTCAATTTCCAATATTACAGTCAAATGTTCGCAGGGGCGTTATGAAACGAGGATCATTCCATTTTGGCCATATGGGGGTGCTCAACGTCTGATTTTACACGGAACTACTGTTTTTTTCCCAATAAGTTAATATACTGCCTATTGATACAAATATCAACATATAATGCTGACAAAATAAATGGGAAAATGCAGAAGTTTTTAATAAATATCTTTAAAAGTGTGTGAATAAATTGTAACCCCAACCCTTAAGGTAGTGGGCATCGGTGCTCATGTGTGGTGTAGAGCGCACGTGTGTGGTAGAAGAGGGGGAAAATTAGAGCAACAGCACAGCTGGTGATGTGCAGAGTTGTGTGTGAACTTTGTGGGACGTTCAAATCATTTACTGATTTTTTTAGAGATGTGCAAGTCGACGGACATGCAAATCTCTGCACAAGACCGGTGAATGGCAGGTGAGCAGAGCAGAGAGAGGTCAACAATAAACCTCAGTTTAGCTGGAAATGTACAGTGTAAGTAATGATTAGTGACTGCAGTTCTGCAGCTTCTCAAGATTAAAGAGTTAGTGTGTGTAACAACCACCCCACCGACCTACACACAAAGATTCGACTATCTGTTGACTATTTGAAATCATTGACAATTCTAATTTGACAACGTAAATCCTTAGTCAGGGACAGCCCTAATATTAGTGGACAGGTTTGAGATCTTCTAATCTAACTCTCAGCAAGAAAGTGAATAAGCATATTTCCGCAAATGTGAAACTTTAGCACCTATATGAACCACAACCCCTGTTACCATAACAATTAATCTTCACAACAAATCCACAATTGAGCTTTTTTCTAAAATAATAACTTGTCATAGTGCATCCAACAACAGGATCTAGCTGTTAAAATCACAGAAAAGCTCTGCCTCCTGTGGTTTATTGCTTTATTTTGGCATAGAGTCCCAGCTGAGCCTGAACTGGACTGAGGTCAAGTCGAGATGAGCACAGATCATCTTTGAGCTTTAACATGAATTTATTATTTTTTTCATTTGACAGAGTTTTGGATCTGACTCTGCTTTTTTAGAACTTTGTTCAGTAAAAACCGACCAAAAGGAGATTGTGGATTTCAACATACATTATTACTTTTTATTATTTTTCTCATGCGCATGTGCACAGCTTGGACTTCCAGCTGTTCTTGTATCAAGGTGACTGGGCTTTTACTGTGAGAAAACCCTGCTGTGGGAGTTATTAGCGAATGTGAAAGCTCTTTTGAAAAGTGACTTTTACTTCAAACACCTTTTCTAATCTATGGCTTTTTATATATTAACTTAAATCTTTGTTTCATGAATTCTATTACATTCATTTTATTTTATGTCACTGCGATTCTTTTGACTTTGTGAAACAACTGTGTAAATGAAATGTAAATGTAAAGCTCAGTTTTTTGTTGTTAAGTTAAAATAAAATACATTTTGCAAGCACACAGCAAATGAATATCGATGAAGAGGAAAGGTGAATTGGAAGCAGGCTCAACTCTCCTTTTGAATATTATTCGCCATGCTCTGCTTTGCTATGTAACCACTTTTATTGGCTCGTGTCCAGGCAGGAGACATTTACATCCCAGCATGAAGCCTAAAACCTCAGTGGTATATTTTGCAAACTTAGCTGCCAGTATCCCCTGTGCAAACCATACCACTTCTGCTGTGTTCTGCCAGTGATTCTGTTGTAAGGGCTGTAAATGAGTCAAGCTTAAAATGATTATATCTGTGGCTCATGCTCCGCAGGTACATGGATAAGATACATCTTGCAGTGCTATAAGTTGGAAGTTACAGCTGGATGGAGAGTCTACATACTTCTGCTTTAGATACTATTTTTACAGTCCCAATTTAGAACAAAGCTCTGCACTGCCAGTCAAACTAAAGCAAACTCACATTTTTCACAGTGTGAAAACAGCAATACTTAAAAGCAAGAAGAAACTATTCAAGCTAATCAGACAAGCTAAATCATGCTACAGTTCATTCTGCCCAGACTTCTCAAATTATTCTCTGACATATTGGAGGCATGTGTCCAAGAGCTCTGTGGCACTGCACGTTTGAAGCTAAATCCCCCAAGCATATCTCTTGTCTTGCACTTGGCACAGCGCAGCTTGGAAAGGTATTTAGGAGCTTGTAACAGTGTGTTGTGGTGGAGCTACAGACAGGGAACTGGGCAGGGATCATGTTTTATCAATGCTGGCACGCTGACCGCAGAGATTTGCGTTGGCGGCCAAGAGGCTGCTGACCAAGTGACATGCACAAGCAGACAAGAATGTAGCTTATGCCACTGGTTCACCTGCTATTCATCCCTCTGTCTCACTGTTGTCTCTGATTGTGTCTCTCTTCTTCTCTCCGTCCACCACACGGCAAACACAAATGCCAGCTGGAATGAAATTTTGACGATGGTTTTGATTTCCTGATCAATAATTAGTAGATGATGATCCGCACATTAGCATTACACGTCCTTTTTCCTGAAAGTTAATGTATTATTTCATAGAAGTATATTAACTGTTCTGGTGTTAATGGAGGTATTTCAAGGCAAGGTGACTAGTTTAGACTCTTATCACATCAGTCAGACCCTTCAAACATTAATAAGTTAAATAAGTTAGTTTTCAGTTTTACCTCCATCAGTTTGTCTTGGCATTATAAAAGGTTTATTGTTGTAGTCAGAAAATGCATAACTCACTGTTTTAGAGCCTGTGTAGTGGGTGTAACTCAGCATAGTGTTGTAACGTGCCTCCCACAGTTTGTCATTCAGTGTTTTTTTGCAAGGCACCAGCAATGGCATCATCATTACCTCCCTATAATTGTAGCAAAACAAAGCATTCACCGGGTGTCCCTTGCTTTAATGCTCTCAGCGCACACAATGAACAGAGTCACTAAATGCCCCATGGTAGCCACCATTGTCTCACAACACAGCAGCCCTGCAACACACATGCTTTGACAAACTTTTCTTCAAATTAGAAGATTTATCCATTAAAGTGAATAATGCTTTAGTTCCAAAATGAAAAAATATCAATATGTTCACTTTACAGTTATAAAGTGACTAGCAAAAACATCTAAAGTGCTTACTTTCCCAAGACAAAAGTAATAAGCGATAAGGCGAAGAAAAAGACGGGAAGTGCTCAATATACAGTTCAAATAAAATAAAATAAACAATTGCTATACTTCCTGTTTTAACACAAACCCCTTTACATAGGAAAGTGTACAAATTCCACTTGAAGCTATATTTTCTTTCATAAATATATAGTAGCAAAACTTATAGAAGTGGAAGTAAAGTCGGAAATATTACACCAGTAGTGTTAACTTGTACCCTTCAAATTAAACATCTTCACAGGTATTTATATAATGGTCTGTTTGTAATTGAGGACGCACATGTGATTGGTGCAGAGAGGTCCTCTCAGGATAGATAACCAGTGGACAGTCTCTCTGTAATTTTAATAAACCTGTCTTCTATCATCTCAACATGGTGAGCTATGTTTTATAGTTAAGGGATATGTATGCGGCTTGCTTGTATTTGGCCTGACATTTGGGCACTGTGGTGCCATAAGAAAGTGCCTTGTCATGCCAAAAGTGCAAAAGTTGGCATGCACGCACACACACACTCCCAAAACAGAGACCACAGACCACAGACCACTATTGCACAATGAAAGTCAGTGATAATTGATTTAGGATTTGAAGCCAGCATGAGACTCAAACAGCAATTGAAATCTATAATCATTAGTAAAATCATCAGTCAATGCAGAATTAGCTTCATAACGTTGAAGAAACATGAGTTCTACTCTGTCTACAAATCTGAACTGTCAGCGAGCTCTGAAGCATTGCTCTCAGTCTGCTCTTCTTTTTTTATGATCTGCAGGTTGTTCCAAAAGAAGAAGAAGTGAAGGAGAGCGAAAAGGTGGATCTGAAAGACCACCTGTTTGTGTTGCGGATCCCAAAGGAGTCTATCCATCGTGGAGCAAAACCAACAAGTAGAAGACTCTTTTCCTTACTCTCTCTCCCTTCCAGTGTACCACCGATAACTGAGCAAAAACAAAGAGAGCCGTGTATCCTGAAATTGGTGCTTTGAAAACAAGTATGAGGGAGGCTGGCACTGAAAGTCGTCCATTTTGACTTTGTATTCGCTTTTATAAGTTGTTCTCCCCAGTTGTGACTCTTACTGAAACTCCTTTTCTTGTGTTTCTTGTTTTGTTTACAGTCATCCATTTTTGATTGCTTACCGACATCCATTGCACCGTGGCACCTTTGCGATTTTGCCATAGATATAATTTGTACTGTGGTCTTTTTATTGATTCTTCGACTGGTGCTTGTGTCTCTGTATGAATCCCCATTGGCTCCTTTTTTTCTGTCGAACTTGTCCTGTTTTGGATAAACGTGAACTCTTTTTTACCTTCTATATTGTAGCAGGAAAGATTTTGTATCTTGTAGGTTTAGCAATAACACACATTCTTCAGTTTTTACATTTCACCACCAAATTCATGATCATATACAAACATATAGACAGAGTTTATGGCATACGTGCAAATGTAAATCATTGTAAAGCAAACTTGGTCTTATTTACTGAAAGGCAGCTTCTGTGTCCAAATCTTTTCTCTGTGCCATTTAAAGAGATTATTGATTTACAGGTGGCATGAGCAATTAATGTGCAATAACTGCGATTATTAACAGACTTTGTAAGCTACTCCCAACTTAGATTTATCTAGAAAACATATGTGACCAAAAGATTTTATCAAGGTTCAAATCAATCCTCAGAAATGTTAACTGTGCCCTTTTTCGAACAGAATGTCACCAGTTTTCATTTCAACAGAGTGGGATTTAAATCCAAAAATGCTAGAATTATGTTGATTTTTCAGACTTGTCTATTTTATAGTTTATGAGATCAGAGATTTAACATATTGTTCCTTTTAATATAGTGTATTCTTTCTAAGACATGCAGATTATTATTTAAATATATTCATTGTACTGTAAAACAGCTGAATACTAGCACATAGTTCATGTAGATCTGTCCCCATGTGTTTCTGTTTTGACAATCAGTTTAAGAAGTTATGAGACTGGGTGTGATGTTTGACTTTCTCTTTTTCCTCTGTACCTGTAAGGGAACTCTGTTGTTAAACTTCTCTCTACCAACCAAGAAGCAGAGCTGAAGTGGTAATCCGCCAGGTCTGTGTTCGCTTTTCCATCATCTCCATCTACGATGCTAAGCGCTCCTTTTTTTGTGTTTGTCATTTTGCACTGCACTTCGCAGAGATCACTTAATTGTCTATATTTGGTCTCTAATACCCTCCTGTGTTTCCTGTTCTTTTATTCATTTTTTTGTAGGTCTTTGTTTATTCAACCATGCAGGCTTTACCGCTTAGGCTGTTTCTTCTTCCATTTATCCCAATTCAAAAGCATAAAATGTATCACTTCCTGTCTGCTAGAGGATTTTCCCCCCTAAAGAGAGACCATTCAGACGCTGCATGTTAGGAACAGCGAATTAAAAGTTGTCATGAAGTTGCATTTTCATGACAATGTTACTGATTATTACCTGAAATTCTTAACAATCTACATTACATCTAATTGCAATTGTCCAGCAGAGCTAAATTCTTCTTAATGCATAATATGTGCAACGCTGCCAGATATTTCCCATTGCCATTTCCTAAATAACCTGTTAGCACTAAGGTCACTTCATGCCAAAGCTCTTGCAATAGGTCACCTCTGTGCTCAGGTTTTATAGGACATTCAAATGTTTTTGTCCCTCACTCACACTTCAAGCAGAACATCTCAATACAACAGATCCCTTTTTGTATCTTTAAATCACAGGTACTCTTTCTTAATTGACTTACATTTTTGAAGCTGATGGTCCTGTACTTACCGTAAAGATAAAAAAAAACACAACAAACTGTTGATATGCAATTGTTATACATACTATATTTGTATAAATAAATCTATGTGCTTGTGTACAGTGAACGCTTTGTCGACCCTTCCTTAATATCCCATGTTACCTTCCAGAGAGGCATTGATTTGTTACCTACTGAATTTGCAAAGAGGTAGATAAAAAAATAAAGATTTCCAAAAAAATAGATGAGGTTTAATTAATCATTGCTACGTCCCAGATCTCCCCCATACAGATAAAGAATGATTTCTTCCAGCAGATTGTGGCAGTGTATACTGCAGGAGGGAGGCTTAGTCTGCTTGATCATACATACACGTGTTAATTCACCCGTTTAAGTCCTATGTAGTAATGCTTTTGGCTCAGATGCTTAGACCTCAGTATACTGTCTTGCATGTGTAGTTTCTTATATTATGGCCTAAAAGTAGTCAAATTTAAATTACTGAGTCTTAAAATACTGGAATATTCTCACAAAATACTCATTGTGTAAGTTTTAACTGTAGAATGAAAACTCCAATCAGGTTGATAAAACATATAATAAAACATATAGCTACCCCTTGGTCAAGTAATTACTAAATATATTCTGTTTCTGCAAAAACACAGTAGCTTGTTGCATAAATGAAGACCTAGAATGATTAAACCTACAGAAATGACCCTCTGAAAGCACATGAAGGTTTTTTATCCCGGGAACAGAAAGTCAATGGCCTTTTGTTAGCTCAACAGAAAGAGCCAACACTAACTAATAAAGAGACTCAAACGGTGAAAGTAGAAGCACAAAACAGTGCTGCTTCTTCACCTGCAACGTGTTGTACACGGTGTTTCGGGCAGTAAAATCCCTGTTGGAGCTATTCTCTGCCAAATAACCAATTCTACAGCAAATGACCAAAGCCTGAGGTGACAATTCTCGACAGTGCAGGTGACATTAATGCAGGTGATAAATCCCACGCCTGTGTCCGTGGGTGTTAATCAAGGCAAAGAGAGCCTGAATGTAACACCTTAGGATCACACAACAACAATAATGATAATCAGTGGTTTAGGTTTGATATATATATATATATATATATATATATACACACACACACATAACTTTTCAAGATTACCAAATCCGGATTACCAGTGCTCTAATTGGGACTACATATCACAATGTAGACTGTTAGCTATATAAAGAACAGCAGGTAGAGTAACCAGCATGGAGTCACTTTACATCACTTGTGGGGTCACTTCTCTTTTAAGAGACAGAAAACAGAAAACAAACGCTTCCTTCCATTTTCAATTTCTTTAATAGTCAGATGCCTCATCTGACCCACAACAAATAAATAAAAACAAACAAATATACATTATTCACAAATACATTGTGGATATTTTGAATAACTGTTTTATATCATGAAAAGGCTAATTGTCCAGTAGTTAACAAAATAAACAACCTTCTTCATTTGTGCAGAGACCAGGCAGATCTCAGAATGGGGGACTGACTGGATGTGCAATTAGGGATTCAATTGTTAGAAACTATTTTTGACTGGTACACCTGTGATGATTGTGTTATTGCAATTAATGTCCTTTTGTAAAACTTTACTGTACTGAAAGGTAGCTTAATAGGTAATGTCTACTTAATCTGTAGCTGTGAACAAATTAAGTGCAATATATATATATATATATATATATGAATACTAGCTGGTCAGATTTGAGCCAGACCAGATAGATCAAAGGTTGAAGTAATAGATGGAAGATGGATGCATATTTTTTGATTGACTATTTATTTTTCTTTGTGGCCAATAGTTTTATAACATTTTAATATATAAACAAACCAAAAGTTTCCTGCGCATACATTATTTTTAAGGGAAAATAAAAATAAATAAAATATTTACTCAATTAAATGAGCCATAAACATCTCAATGCCTCAGCATTTAGATAATTCATCCAAAAACACTAACGCCCTGGAGGAGAGGCAGAAAGAAAAAAGTGATTTAAAGGAAAGTAGATAAATAAATAAAATGTGTCCCATCCTATATACAGTATGCTTATGCAATGGAGAATGTATTCACGTTCTGTGTGTGTGTGTTTCTGTATGTCAGAGTTTGTGAAAGAACTCTCTTAAACATGTCATTATGTGTGGGATTTCCTGTGTGTATGTGTGTATGTGTGTGTGTGTGTGTGTGTGTGTTTGTGAGATCCCTTTAGGACACTGATGTATGTGGAAATGTTTGTAGCTTCTGTGGCATACTTGAATACATAAATAAGATGCATGAATGATCAATTTATTTGTGGGTGGTGATGGGGAAGTGGACAAGACACACCTCTTTGGTGTGGGAGACCTGGCTTTGATTTCCACTGCAACACATTCACCAATGCGTCCGTCCCTGAGCAAGACACTTAACCCCTAAATCTGAATTTCAAAAATAACCCCTCGCAGCTCATATTGGAGATTTTTGTAGCGGGGTTATCAATCTTGGAAAGGACAATATTTCATTGCTAGTACAACTACAAGGCTTTCACTGCGGTTAAAAAATAAGTTGTGAAACCAAAATCTTGAGAACTCCCAATATCTGTCATTGCAAATTGTATGTAAATTATTTACATACATAGAAGGGTTTTTTCCTATCAAAATTGGGAACTACACGACTGTCCCAATGTCAAATGTTTCATTTCCACGACAGTTGAGCGGTCCATTGAGCAAGACATTTGCTGCACTCTAACCCTGTTGGCTAAATGCATACAGCACAACAAGGAGCCAAATAAATAATTACCTACATTCCAGGTGTTGTGGTGATTAAATGCTCTAAATTCCTTAAACCAGCACTCAAAGCTGTTATGTCATCAAGATATCAGCTGAACAAATCTAAAATTCTTGAAACATAATGTATGATTGAGCAATACTAATAGTTATGACAAGAAAGAAAACCTATCATCTTTGCAGTTTGTTACTCAGACAGCATCACAGATTCTGCCAGAGGGCAGATTTAATTCTTCAAACACCCAAGTTCAACATTCAATAAAATCAGTATTCCCCTCAAGTATGAGAAAATGTGTGAACTAAGGTTAGGATAATTACATAGAGACTATAAATACTTCCCTGGGGTTTAAACCTGCCCATTTATATCAATCATTGAAATCCAGTCAGAAGAAGCTAAATATGACGAGTCACATGTTAATGTAGGAAATAAAAGAAACACCTCTCTCTTGTGGTCTCACTGAGTACTACAGTCATCACTGTGCTTACATTTGAGTCACGCTCTTCCAGAGTTTATTAATAGTGTCAAAACTATGTCAAGATCCAAACTCAAATAAATAAATGAAAATCAGATCAAACACTTCTCTTCTACTATCTTTAAATTTTCCCTGATTTCATGCTACTGGAAGTATGCTTTGTGTTGACAATCCAGGCTCAGTAAATGAGCGATTCATGCATCACAACCAAAGCGTAGCCATGGAAAATGACATCAGTGACATTTGGAGTCTCGTACGCAGCCGTGGAATTTAGTGAAATACAAGCCGCTTCAGGAATGTCCACAATGTTTTGCAGTATTGTAGCACAGAGACTGAACCACTAAGGAACTTCTAGTATTTGCCTATAGGCATCTCTCCAGTGGTAGAATAAGGAAGATGGAGGGATATATACGTGGACAAATTAAATCTGTATTTTATGTTGTTTTTGTGAGTGATTTAATATTAGACTAATTTGCAACTGGCTAATGTCTCACCGGCTTCCTCATTTCCAAGTGAAGCTTCATTAACAACTTGACCATTTGTACCTGACTAGCAGTAGTGGAAAGTAAGTATATTTAATAGAGAGAAATATTTTACTTTTTAAGCATTACATTTATTTAGCAGCTTTAGTTAAGGTTACATACAAAACATATGAGCTTAAATGTGTGTGAGCTATATATATGATATTTTATATATGATGGATATATTTGTTATAGATAGAAACAGTTAATAAAATAATCAGATATAAAAATACATGATAGTATTTTACTAGTAATTTCACAATGGCTGAGCACATTAGACCAAGTAGAAGAAGATGGAAATATGCTTCAGGGAGATGGGAATAATCACAAGAACAATAGTCACAAAGGAAATCTAGATTTTCAGTGAATGTATTGTGATTTAAAAAATAGATTGCCTATATATACCAATGTAAATTTAAAAATAATTGAAACTACTTACCTACAGCATGATCAAAGACATGATGCAGTATGAAATATGTGTAAGCGCCCACCCACCCACACAAACACACACAATAAGTACAATTAGAGGCCATTTGTTCTCAACTCCGGTGTTGATGGTATAATCAAGGGTGTTAATGATGACAGGTACTCACACTGCTGCCTCCCCCTAAATGCACTCCCAGGCATATAAAAAGATACTAAAGTGTGGTCAAAGTGTGTTTTTATTTTTAAACTGCAATATTCTCATTTCCTATTATTTATTTATTTTGTTTGAATCCTTGCTATGATGCAGAAGAACAGATATTATAGAAGGACAAAATTCCCTTTTACACTGATAATGACTCATATGCAGGAGGCTCATGAGTGATTACAGTAGTGTCAAATGATTAATGGTATCAGCTGACCTCCATCAGTTTCAAATGTGATCTCCACACCTTGTTAGCTGGAGACAGTCCAGACCAGTGGTTTTCAAACCTTTTCACGTCAAGGACACCCAAACTGAGTCCCTGGATCACACTTTGACAACCACTGGTCTAGACTATCCTGGACAAGCCCTGCACGAGATAGTCTTGTCACTTAATAAAAAGCTCATCGAAGTAATTATCATGCAAACGTATAAGAATCTGCTATCTTAAATTATTAATTTAGTTGCTGGATTAAATGGAAATTATTCACATTTTCTTTAAATGGAATGTGTCGTTCCTTCAAAAAATATCTTGTAAATATGCGACATTAGTGTGAGCTAGTCACTCGTTCTTGGTGTCATCTTGGTTTTTTAATAGGTGACGTTCATGTTTAAGGTGTTTAAGGAGAGAACTACAAAACTCTTAGTTATTATTTTAGTTCATTTTTCAGTATTATCTGAAGTATACTATCTATAGTAGTATCTTATTTTACCTCCCATGTTAATT